TCAGTTCGAGTAAACTTTTCAGCTTATGGATTGATACTGACAGACAGGACACTAGAAATTTCTCTGGATCTTCACGAGCTGTAATTTAGCAAATAATTATTAACCATAACTAGCTTAGTCTTCTTGTGAAGTTGAATAAGGTATTATATACTCGAAATCCCTGAGATCGGGTAGGCGTGGCTGCGTACTTGATTTCAAAATGGCGGCGGCCCAGGTTTTCGTGAGATATTGTCATTTTGGAGCAGTCGTAATCATGTCTACATCTAACACAGAACAAGATAGCAGTTGTTTCAAATTGAAGTATCCCACGAGAAACCCGTCCTATGCCATGCTCAAAAGCCACGCCTACTCCGTCTCAGGGATAAGGAGTGTACCTAAACGCGTCAGCTTTCAGTTTTGACCAGTGTTCAATTAGATCTAGGTTTTAATTAATCCTGGTCAAAATTTCAATTGAAAAATGGGCCCAAAGCTTCCCTCCTCGTTTGGCGTAAGCAGTCTCGATTCAGAGTAGTCATTTTTGAATTTCGAGAACCACCTCAGTCAAAGAAATCAGATGTTGCATTTGTCATTGTTTTTAGAGCCCTTTAAAAGCCCAGCAATTTCCGTGATTTATTGTGGAAAAGAACAAAATTATGGTTGTAGTTGCCTTCCAAGAAAATGTAAATGTACGTAAATTTTGAAATCCCAACATTTGTTCATTTCCCTTGTCACAAGATCAAAATTTCAACATTTCACGGCATTTAACGGTAACTTTCTCATTTCGGACCAGGGGTAGTCCTCCCGTTTGAGAGAAATTTCTGCATATACAACTCTCAGAGGTTCCTCCTCTGACGTCCACCTCCGCCGATCTCGCGTCATCCTGCTATCCGTCCTAAATCTGTTAACTTAACTAATCCTGCCAGTCCTCAATTCTCTACTTACTTTCCCGCAGTTGCTTTGCCAGCATTCTATCGCTCCTCCCCCCCCCCTCTAAAGCCGTTGAGCTGGGAGGGGAACTTATCCTTGCAACGAAAAAAAAAACTGAGAAAAGTCAACTAACGTGGAATTTTTTAACAAGGCAAATACGATCCCCTCCCTCCAGCGATTAAATACGACTCCCCGGCATGTTCCGTGACAAACTGAGGCCATAATCTTTCAAATGTGTCAAAGATCTTTAGGCAGTTGTAGAGTCATTGAAGGGGTGAAAATGTGCGAGAATTCTAGTGGAACCTGATTAGTTTTGCGAGCACCCCTTAGGCCCAAGCTAGCTCCCGTGTCTACCGACTATTAGGCTAAAAGCCGCTCTACTAGAATCACTATTTCAAATGGATGAGAACGAGTTCATAAGGGGAAAGAGCTATTATGCACGAACAAGCTGGAATTGGCAAGGGGTCCTTTATAGGGCATCACGGGAAAAAATTTTATTTCTTGTTCTTCACTATATAGTTACTCAGTACCTTGTCATAAGTATTATTTGAGCTTGATTACCCACCATCTATGATCGTGGGCTTTGCCTTCAAATTTATATTTCAACTATCCCCATCGTACCACATTCCCTTTGTGAAATCCTCCAGCAAAAGGAGAAATCCACAGCGTTGTTGACAACCAGGGATCTGGTTATAGCAGCCCGTATGTTTACTTGTTGGTCTCCAATTACACATATTTTACAATATGTTATCGGTGATTGTTTTGTTTGTCAGCCGGACATAAAAAATCTGTAAATAATCACCTGACAATTACACGGTTCACTATGACAGGTACCGGAACATGAATAACA